ACAATTTGATGGTTGGGGGTCACCACAACATGAGAAACTGTATTAAAGGGTCGAGGCATTAAGAAGGTTGAGAACCACTGATCTAGAATGATGTAAATCAGGAGCCTGGCTCATGAGAAGAGTTATCAGCAGAAATGACTTTTCACCCATCTATATGGCAGGGCAAGCCCCTCACTTCTGAACATGTGCTCTCACTGCAGTGCCCCTTGAAGCCCAAGGCGCCTTACCTCGTCCCTGGCTCAGCATGTCTTACACACCTCAACCCCCCTTTCTATCTCTGAACCGCTCCTGCATCTGGGGTCTCCGGCTCTCTCGTGTGTATAGGATTCCCATTCGTAGGTATGTGTTACATTTGGCTGCTTGCTCTTGCTAATCTGTCTCATGTCTATTGATGATGAGATCAGCCAGAAGAACCTTGAGGGTAGGAGAAAGCTTGTTCCTCCCCCACTCCCCTTTTTCTCTCCTTCCACCCCCAGGCTTGCTATAATTTAATTTAAGGCATTTCAGAATTTCCTCTTGGTCACATGCATAGACTCGAGTATAGTAAATCAAGTTCATAACAAATATGATTTGACACTTATCTGATCATAACAGAATTGTTACCGTGTTGTACAGCAATGAGGCAAAAAACGTGCAGCACGCCAAATGGCCTTTTTCAGCGCAACCTAACTCTTCATTTATTTTCCCAGTCACGGCATCAAGTCCAACACTGACCATTTTCTCTGATGCCGTGCACAGTACAACAGCCTTCAGCACGTTCTAGAGGTGCTGAACGAGGTGACAGCACCCTGGGGTCTAGTCCCTGATGAACCCTTAGCAAGCGGTGTGACCTCTGAGCCTCAGTTTCTTCTTCTGCAACATGAGGGGGTCGAGTGGAGCAGATGTGAGGACCCTCCAGCCCGAAGGGCCAGAGCTTCCCCAGCAGCCCCGGCCACGCTCAGGGAGCTTCCACCTCCCCCTTCCCTCACCCTGGCCCCTTATCTTACACCCACACAACAGGGTGCGCGGACCTGGGGGCCAAGGCCTAGCAATCAGCCCAGCAGCTGTGAGGCAGGCCCGGGGAGAGCACTGGATGGGGGCGGGGCAGAGAGAACAGGGTCTGGAACAGCCCCATCAGGAGGCTTAGGGTGGAGGGAAGGGGAGGCCCTTCAGCCTGGGGTTTAAAACCAGCTGAAGCAGGGCAACTTTCAGGACTAGTCTTGAGCAGTTTATATTTTATAAAATAGTCTTTATATTATTTTCCCATTAGAAACGAATCAGTTTTGCAAGATAAAAAGTTCTGGAGATCTGTTGCAAACCATGTGAATATACTAATGCTACTGAATTGTACACTTAACGATGGTTAAGATGGGACTTTTTAATCCTAATTTTAAAAAAAGGCTGGGGGAGTCACAACCAAGCCTCACAAAAATTGGAAAGACTGAAAAGTGACAAAAGACAACATCCAATCCCCCACATTAAGCAAAATGGAAATTGATCTAAGTGATTATGTGATTTAAAAGGTAATTGCGTGTGTGTGTGTGTGTGTGTGTGTGTGTGTGTGTGTAATAGAGAAATGTTCTGGTCCCAGACTCCAGTTGGACATGACACCACCCTACAGGTGTCAGAATTGAGTGTATCGTCTGCCCAGGTCTGCACCAACCACACTGTCATGGCCTCACTAAGCGCCACCCGCGACCAGATTGCCCAGGTGTGCCACATTCGGGAATCCTACCTCCTGGATCAGATTGTAAATTCCTGAGGTCAGCGACTAGACTTCCTGTACGTTGTCCATAATACTCAGCAGAGTACATGCTATGCAACTGCACCTGGTGAGTGACTGCGAGTGAGAAAATAGAATGGCAGAGCACCTGCAGGGCAGAAGGACTTCCCTCTCTGAAAGGAGGACCCAGGATATTGGGGTGGGAAACAAAGAGAAAGGTCATCATGCCTCCCTAAACCGGGGCTTTCTCCCAGGAAAGTATAAAGTCAGGTGGCGGTTTAAAAATATAGTCAGAATGGTTCACGACTGATTATGATCAACCAGTTCTTTGCCTGAATCCTTTCCCCGCCATACCCATCTGGTCTGGGTAGGAACTAGTTTTTTGTCTAGTTGTAGTCTTGGCCCTGAATGTTCCATTGCAGGGGCAGAGGGGGCGCGGTGGGAAGGCCAGAGCCCGTCCCGCCCTGCCTGCCCTTTGACAAGCCTAGAGGCTCTGGGTGGGTGGGCACTCTCTCTGCCTAACAGGTTTGCTAGGAAAGCAACGGAGATAATGCAGGTAACGCTGCCTGCAAATCGCAAACTGCCAAACCAAAGCGATGCAAAGTTCTTGTTGTTTCTCCCCTGTAGTAAGATGATAGCTATTCAGAGAGCTGCACCCTGTGGAGGCCGGGAGCCCACCCCTCCCAGCTGTCTCAGCTGTTCGCAGGAATTCTGTGGCAGCCACTCCCTCCCTTCTCAGCTGGCTCAGAGATCCAGAAAACATCTCTCCCCACCCGCCCTAGCAGCTCGTCCCCCAGTGCTTTGGCCCTTCCCTCCTGAAGTATATTTGTGACCAGCTCCCAAATAGAAGCTCCACGGCCCGGCCCCTGGCAGGTAGTACTCACAGTCACAGGGGAGGAAACCGAGTCTGAGAGAGGCCAAGAAACTTGTCCTGGCCACAAGTGCGGACTCTAGCCTCTCCTTCTTCTTTTTAAAAAATTGTACTGTATTGTGGTCAGAACACTTAACATGAGATCTATTCTCTTAAGGAAGCATCCACTCTATGCTTGTTGACCTATGTTGCACAGCAGACTTCTGGAACTTACTCATCTTGCTCAACAGAGACTTGATGCTTGCTGATTAGTGGATCCCCATTGTCTGGACCAGGGGTCCTCAAACTTTTTAAAAAGGGGGCCAGTTCACTGTCCCTCAGACCGTTGGAGGGCCGGACTATAGTTTAAAAAAAAACTATGAATAAATTCCTATGCACACTGCACGTATCTTATTTTGAAGTAAAAAAACAAAACGGGAACAAATACAATATTTGTATTTGCATGTGGCCTGCGGGCTGTAGTTTGAGGACCCCTGGTCTGGACCCTAATTTCTTTTTTCTTTTTTTTTAGCATACAGCATAACTTTATTCTCTTCCACAACTGACAATATTAAGTAAAACAGCAAGCACTAATATTTACATGGCACTCTATGGTTGAGAAATCCCTTTTACAAATATTTCATCATTTTCTCTAATAAAAACCCATCAAGATATTATTATTATTGCCTTTTGATAGCTGAAATTGATTAGTGCACAGGAAATTTTATTTATTTATTGTTTGACTATTGAATATACCATTTATTTAGTACATTGTACCTAGAATTATTATTATTATTATTAATTTTATTTTCTTGTTTAAAGTATTACAGAAAGTAGTACATATGTCTCCTTTTTTCCCCATCGACCTTCCCCCGGCCTCCCCTATCCCCTGGCACATGTCCTTACCCCACCCCCCAGTGTCTTGTGTCCATTGGTTATGTTTATATGCGTGCATATAAGTCCTTCGATTGATCTCTTACCCCCCTCCAACACTCCCCAGCCTTCCCACTGTAATTTGACAGTCTGTTCAATGCTTCTCTGCCTCTGTATCTATCTGGACCCTAATTTCTTAAAGAAGCAGGGCTATATGTGTACTGACACAGTTCAACAGAACTTTTTAGCTGCAACAGAACTGATTGGAAACTGATGAAACAGAAAGAACCATTTTATCCACTGCTCACCCCACGGGGGATGAACTGAGCAGCTGGCCTCGCTCCAAGGCCCTGAGAGAGGCCAAGACTTCTCCACCTTCTCATCTGGCTTCCACTCAACAGAACAGCTGGAGAAGTGGCACCTCGAGGGCTCCCGACTATTTTTATGTGGCCATCTGCCCTCCAGACCGGGCCTGGCAGGCAGCGACAAGCCTGAGGAATGCCACAGCAGGTGGGTGACGCCCCAACAGCTGACACCCAGCCCTGCTCCTGACTGCTGTCCTGGGGACACTGGAAGTGAGGTGTGAGGAGAGCAAGAGGAGAGAGAACGCCTTTTACACGTCACAGTGTGGCGTGATGTGTGTGCCCTTGATTCGCTGTCTATTTCTAGAAGGAGCTGAGCTCTGCCCTGCCGTGGCCAGGGGAGCACAGTGCGCCAGCCGGACGCATTGGCCAGCTGCTGACCTCAGTCACCCAGAGGAGAGGGCATTGCAAATGCTCTGCAGAGACGGGGCCCCCAAAGAAAGCCTGGGCCTCCGCTTGTCATAAGACCTGGGTGTCCCTGGAAGCTAGGCTTGGAGCAGTCAGGCCTGGGCAGGGCTGCCCTCAGATGTGTGGTTAGAGGATGGGCGTGCTTCATTCACAGTGTCCTGGGCAGGAGGAAGCATTAAAATCAATCAGTAAAACCCCCTTTACATTATAGAACAGCGGTTCTCAACCTGTGAGTCGCGACCCCTTTGGGGGGGTCGAACGACCCTTTCACAGGGGTCGCCTAAGACCATTGGAAAACACATATATAATTACATATTGTTTTTGTGATTGATCACTATGCTTTAATTATGTTCAATTTGTAACAATGAAAATACATCCTGCATATCAGATATTTACATTACAATTCATAACAGCAGCAAAATTACAGTTATGAAGTAGCAACGAAAATAATTTTATGGTTGGGGGTCACCACAACATGAGGAACTGTATTAAAGGGCCGCGGCATTAGGAAGGTTGAGAACCACTGTTACAGAACGTTGTAAACATACACAAATCGGAGATGAGGATAATGAAACCCCACGTATCCATCCCCCGGCTTCATGTACTAGTGGAACCATATCTTACATGTGTGCAGTATACCGGTGTCCTAATAAAAGGAAAGAAAAAAAAGGGTGTGTTTGTGCCCGATTTATTGTTTTAATCTGTTCTTTTCAGGAAGAAATGGGAAGAGAAGCGGGTCAGATATATGTTGGTGTAGAGTGAAGATAGGATGTTGAATCCCTGTCACGCCTTCCTTTTTCCTTAGGTAAAGGGTGTTTACTTCCAAGCACTGATGGATGCCTGCTGTGCGCCATGCTCCTTCCAGGCTGTGTGCTTGGGTCATGGAACAGCACCCGCCAGCTCAGGAGGGCCAGGACGAGGTGGTCAAGACGAGGTGGGTGGAGGTGCCTGGAGCCCTGGGCTGGCACTGGTGGGACGTTGAGGAAGGCAGTTAAATTCTACATTCTAGGCTTCCTCATGTGTAATCATGATAATGTTGATCTTAACTATTATTATGAAAACCAAATACAACTGTCTTTAAGCCACGGAAGTGTTTTGTAAGGACAAAATGGGACTTTTCCCAAGGCGGGATGGAAGGAGACGGGACCTTGGGAACTCAGGGGCGTGATTCCACAGCGATAAAGCTTTCCACCATACCGCCTCCTCCCATGGGGCCTCAGGAAATTCTTGTTCCCACGGCACCCCAAGAAGCCCGCTTCCACTGGCAACAGGTGGGGATACGGGGGACACCCTACCAATGATAGAGAGGAGAATGAGAGACTTCTGGTGTGGGGCCTCACACTGCCATTCCCACGAAAGCCAAGTTTCTCTGAGTGGGCATCTAATTCTCATGCTGAGAAGTTTTATATTGTATTTTAATTTAGATGATAACTCTACATATAACTCCGTATTGCAGTCCTCTGTATTTTGTGCTTTATTGCAATGTGCCAAATAATCCTACTAAGAAAAGAGCAGAGGTGGACTTTCTTCACTTATTTTTTCCATTAATCAACAGACATTTATGGAGCACCTTCTGTGTAGAGAGGCTGGGTGCTGGCCGGTAATGGGATGGTGTCAAGAGAAGGCGGCTGCATGGAAAACAGGTTTGCCGTAGCCTGAAAAAGCCAAGGGTAGCGCTGAGCTCTCACAGACTCATTGCAGGATACGATGTAACCTAATTAACTACACCATTAAATTAATGTTGTTAATTTGAATTTAGTGGTTTTTTTCCGGTTTGGTTTATATTTATAATGTAAATTTTTAAAATAGTTGTATAGATGCTATCAGCATAAAGGGTTCATATCTGAGTTTGTTTGTACATAGTATTTAAATAATGTTACAATGAAAATAATAGAACTTCTTGGGGGGGGGGGGTTAGAGAGCAACCAAAGGACTTGTAAGCGGGCTGTGGGGGCTCGCCTGGGGTGGAAATGGCTGGGGGGACGGGGAGGTCAATTGGGGGGAGAGGAGACATATGTAAAACTTTAGACAATAAAAAGAAAATAGAACTTCTTCTATTTTCCTCCTACCTCTCACATAACTCTTCAGCAGTTTCACGTCTCTCCCTAACACAGGCACTTGCAAATATGCACACATGCATGCACAGCACGTGAGCATCAAGCTCACAGTCCCAGGGCCTCACTGTTCCCAGCACCGCCCGGAGGCAGGCCGATCCTGTGGTCCTGCGTGTGAGGGTCCCCGGGTCCCAGGAAAGAGGAGCCTGGCGGGGATCTCCCTGCCCTCGCAGGGTTTAGAGGTCGCTCCAGGAGGTCGCAGCAGGAAGCTAGGTGCAGCATCCCAGGGAGAAGATCCTCGGGAGACCCTCCCCTCCCCCCTGCTGGCTCAGGGCCAGGTGCCTTGGGCCAGCTCTGCCCCCAGCAGCCTCCCCAGGTGGCACACCCCAGACCCTCCTGAGCAGCCCTCTGAGCCGGGACCCCCACAGTCAGCAACACGGCTCCCTATGTTCTGCTCCTACAGAAAGCTTTGTTACTTAACGTGTCCACCACACTGCAGAGATGGCAGGGGAAGCAAAAGACATTAATGACAGGCTTCCTTTAGGTTTGGGGTGGGGACAGGGTGCTCAGAAGGAAGAGGGACTCAGCACTGGCTGCTAGGGGACAGAGTGCGGAAGCCCCGGGCTCCCCAGGCGACTGGTGGGAGGATGGGAGCACCGGGAGGGTACTTTGTCTGGGGAAATAGATAGGATTTATTTTTTATCATCAAGAGCACAGAAGTAGGACCTATGGGCAGAAGTTTTAGGGACCCAGACCAAACAAACAAACAAAAGCCCAAACTAACAAAACTGTCCACAAGTGGAATGAGCGGCTTTTGTGAGGGTTGTCATCCCTGAAAGTGCTCATGCCAAGGGTTAGAGGGAGCACAGGGGTCCTGTGTGGGGTGGGAGGTTTGAAATAAAGAGTAGTAGATTGACAATCAGATTTAAAATGCCACACTTCTTTAAATGTCCTGTATATTTTCTCACACACACACACACACACACACACACATACACACACGCATGTTGGGGTGAAGAAAGCTCCACTCTTTGCCCACATGAGCTTGTGGGCTGCTCTGAGAGTTTGTAGCTTATGCAGCAGGAAGCTGGGTGCAGCGTGCTCTGACCCTGGCCCCTCTCCGAAGGAGTCCCCTTGGGGTTGTACTGTTTTCAGAGTCTACAAAACTATGAGCCCCCAGATTGAGCCAGGTGTTTGCAATTATTCACATGAGTGTGGTTCCAGCTCCTTTATAGAAATTAGGATAATTGTAGCAAGAAACAGGAAGCCTGAGAGAGAAAGGTGACAAAAAGGAGAGGGGATGCTACCCAAAGTTTTCTTTCTTCTTTTTTCCCCAGATTGATTTTAGAGAGAGAGGAAGGGAGGAAGGGGTGGGGAGGGAGAGAGAGAGAGAGAGAGAGAGAGAGAGAGAGAAACATTGATGTGTTGTTCCACTTATTCGTGTATTCATTGGTTGATCCTTGTATGTGCCCCGACTGGGAATGGAACCCACAACCTTGGTGTATCAGGACGACGCTCTAACCCACTGAGCTACCTGACCAAGGCCCAAAGTTTTCTTTACATATGAGCTGTTTATCACAGAGCAGTAGGAGCAGGAGACAGACGTCCTGAGCGGGAGCAGCACTCCTCAGATTAGGAGGCAGGTCACCGTCTGTGGCTGGTCCTGGGCTGTGAGCAGGCTGGGCCCTCCCTGGAGAAAGGCCACAGTCCCGCAGGTGTAGGGCACTGAGGGCAGGGAACCCCGTGTCCCCAGGTGGGCCACGCCAGGCAGGGCCGGGCGAGGCTCTGTGAGAGGGGCAGCTCTGAAGGGTGGACATGCCCACCTTAAGTCTCTGCGTAGGAAAAAAAGCAGGTGGAAGCCGCCCGTGTGAGGAGGAGGAGAGCTTCCCTTTGCGGAACCGGATCCCAGTTTTTCGGATTCTAGTCTGGAAAAGCCACAGCAACGTCACTGACTTGGGGCCTGGCCGCCCAGGTGGCAGAGGCCTTCCCCAGGGCTGGAGGAGGGGAACTGTGGAGAGAGCTGGAGATACCAGGCTGGCAAAGGCACTGTGTTTACATTTTTAAAAACGGTGCCGAGAAAACCTATCTGGGGGTGGAATTCCTGAACCACCTCATTTTGATCCTCACTTTATAGATGAAGGAGAGGTGGCAGGGAAGTCTGTGCAGGCTGATTTTAACCAGAGTCTGTCCTTGGCCATGAGGTAACGGCTTTTGGAAGACCCCGTTCTAACACCTTAGCTCTTGCCAGGCCAGGACTCGGCGCCCTGCTCACGACAGTGACCTGAACCTAGCCCACACCGGGACGTGTGGGGGCCACTGGTGAACACCGAGGTGCACTCAGACCTGGGAGGTCACGAACCCCGAGCTCATAGGAACAATTTCGTGTTTTCTGAATCACGACCCCAGAAATCAATGAGGTGGAGCCCTGGAACTCGGCCCCCTCGAGGGCACAGAGAAAGACCCTGAACCCCGGGACCCTGGGAAGGGGCAGCTGCCACCAGCGCGGACTCCGCTAACGACTCAGCTATTGGCGACGCCTAAACCCCCGCAGCGGCAGCGCCTTCTCCGCCGGGTGCGCCTGGCTCCGCGCGCAGCACAGCTGGG